CCACATACCTAAACCTCGCCTTCTATTCCTCTCACCATATCTCTCTAGACTAAAAACAGTTCTCCGTGAACCCATTCTCAATACTCTTCCAATCTATGTTTTAAAAAAATCCTAAAAATTTGGAGATTCAATTGAGCCAAAATTGAAGCAATTTATCTCTATGAAAAATAAAATCATCTGAATGTCTGATTGAGAGTATAGAGTTAAAGACCAAAATAAAACGAGAGAAGAAGCGGTGAAAGATAAGAGACAAAGAGACAGGAGACAAAGAGTGACCGAACTGGCGAAAAGACGAAGAAAGTGAGCAGAAAATAGATGATCAAAGTGGTGGAGAACAGGAAAAATTTGAAGAAAAAGAAGAAGATAGCCGATGAAGGAATGCTCCCGATGAAGGAAGCGATGAAAAAGAAGCCTCGCTAAATTATTATTTTTTTTAATTATGAATATAGGATATAATTATTAGGAGATAAGTATGAGTTGGGTCGGGTTATAGGGTTTAGGTGGAATGGGTGGATATCACCCAGGTTTTACTGTAATTATAGAAACAGATAAGGGAGATGGTAGGATTTTCCAGGGTTTTCGATATTAAAAGAAAATCAAAATTAAATTAGTTATTAGATTATGGCTTATGAGCTCCTTTGAGCGACAGGCTAAAATGCCATAAATCAGGAAAAAGTATGCCCAAACGCCATAAGCTAATAATTAATTTAATTTTGATTTTCTTTTAATATCAAAAATCCTGGAAAATCCTATTTTCTCCTTTACTTGTTTCTTTAATTACAATAAAACCTGGGTGATATCCATCCATTCCACCTAAACCCTATAACCCGACCCAATTGATATTTATCCCATAATAATTATATCCTAAATTAATTAAAAAATATATTATTTATGAGGATTTCTCCTTCATCGCTCCATCTTCTTCCTCTTTTTCGATCTTCATGTTCTCCACCACTTCAATCATCTTTTTTTCTGCTCACTTTCCTCGTCTTCTTGCCGTTTACTCACTCTTTATCTTCCGTTTCCGTCTCTCTCTGTCTCTTCTCTCTCACCATTTTTTCTCTCATCTTTCTCTGGTTTTTAACTCTTTACTCTCAATCAGACTTCCAGGTGATTTTATTTCTCATAGAGATAAATCACTTCAATTTTGGCTCAATGGATCTCCAAATTGTTAGAACTTTTTTTAAAACACAGATTAGAAGAGTATTGAGAATGGGTTCAGGGAGAATGGTCTTTATTCCAGAGAAATATGGTGAGAGGAATGAAAGGCGAGGTTTAGGTACGTGGATTTCAATTCCAATATGGAATTTTGATAACAAACAAAAGAAAGATAATTGAAAGCATTTTGATTGGGTTATAGTGTGTAACTAGCTTGAATTTTGAGTCATTTACTTATGATTTCGACGGCTAAATGTTCTTGGGTCGTATTATGATGCATTTAAAAGTCTACATCAGCAAATTAATCTCTTTCACATTCTGTTTGTCAGGAAAAAGCTGCAGATTCTTCAGCCAAGTCTTCATCTCATTTGAATGTGCATCCGAATGGTCCTTCATATGCTCCTCCTATGATGCCTATAGATACTGATGATGGCATTTTATATAAAGGTTTGTCCAAGAATCTAGTTTTTTTTTCTTTTCTTTTGAATCAAATTCTTCTAGATTGGACTAAAAGAGGCATATGTATCTTTGCTTCTTTGCAGCTATTGGTGGTGTGAGTGGAGATCTTCTTGAACAAAATTCTCAGATGTTTAATCAAGTTTCATCAAATTTCTCAGCTTTCCAGGTGAATGCAACTTCTATCTTTCAGCTTGTAGACTTTTGTATACTTCCTTGGGACTGGATTTGTTTCTTTACCTTGTATTATTGGCTTTTGAGTAATCCTATGATGGATATATTTATTTGAACTTTATCAGCTTAAGAGATTCTATCTTCCCGTTGCAGATACATGAGAACGTCAGTATCTTGTGCAAAGCTTGGGAAAATATCCTCGCAATCTTGAACAAGTAATACTTTTTGCCCATATATCTATAGATCATATCTCTGTCATTAGCTTTTTTTGGGATATGTCCCTCTCTTCCAACAAATATGTTGTTTTAAACTTTTGGTGTTATTAACTCAAATATCTGCTTGCTATGTTGATTGAACAATTGTGTGTTGTAGCTTGAATGATATGCCAGAGGTTATGAAGCAGATGCCACCTCTTCTGGTGATGGTGAACGAAGAGCTGGCAAATTCGATCCTCCCTCGCCCTCCCCATCAAATGAAGTCGTGATGGATGGATCTTATAGAGCTGATCGATTGTTAGTTCTGACCAAAAAACTCTCTTTAATCCGGGATCAATGAAGAAAGTAAAAAATCGCTGGATGTAGAGAGTTCCACTTGTGAAATTGATGATAGAATGCAGGTTTTCTCCTGACTCATAGAGTTTACTATACTCTTTATGCAATTTTAGTCGCCTTTAAAAGTTTTAGCAAATGGTTATCTATTATGAGTTGTTGGATGTTTTGTTTGATCTATTATGCGTTCTTCACAAAATAAGAAGAAATAAAAGAAATCAACCATCTTTTTTTCATTTTTTGTTACATTCTATTTTATTCACTTTTTTATCAAATACAAAAATGGACAACTAAGTACAATTATGGACAACTAAATATAATTATGGTACAATTAAATACAATTATGGACAACTAAGTAAACTATGCACAACTAATACTAAGTACAATTTGGTACAAGTGGTATAACTATATAATTTAAAATTATAATAAAATTTAATTAAAAATTAGTTAGAAAAAACATGTGTGCCAACAAAAAAAAACAAGTGCGCAACTAGGTAGAACTACGTTATGAATTTCTTCAGGGCAACTAGGTGCAATTAGATACAATTATGTTATGAATTTTTACAGGGCAACTAGGTGCAACTAGGTACAATTACGTTATGAATTTCTCCAGGACAACTAGGTGCAACTCGGGACAACTATATTTTAATTGTAATGTTAAAAACAAATTCTTAAAATTCTTATTTAAAAAAACTCATACTCTAAAAATTGTATCTTTTCACGTCTATACTAGAAAGAATAAAATAAAACTTTGTTTTGTTCAAAGAACCAAATTTTTTTGGTTTCATTTGAAATAGCCCTTATATTATAAGAAAGTCTTTGACAATGTTATCCATCTTATGCAAGCGTCTATGCAAAAATAGAAAAATAGAAAAATAATAACGTAAAACCATTGGGGCTGTTATATAATGTTCGAAATTCTTGTGGACAACTAGAATATAATAATTTCTGTCGAAAGACAACTGAAAAAACTACAAAATCGATGAAAGGACAACTATTACAAATTTTGGACAACTGGACAACTAGGTACAACTATGTTGTCTGTTGTAGACGCACGTGTGAAATACAACTGGTACAACTGGTACAACTGATATAATTATGTAATTTAAAATTATAATTAAAATCTATTAAAAATTAATAAAAATACACATGTGCGTCGACAAAAAAGAACATGTGCGCAGTCAAAGTACCACGTGTGCCGTCAATTTTGTACATAGTTGTACCTAGTTGTCCAGTTGTCCAAAATTCTTCATAGTTGTCATTTGGCGATTTTAGCATTTTTTTCAGTTGTCCCTTGATATAAATTATTATTTTGTAGTTGTCCACATAATTTTCGATTATTGTAGTCCATTTATAACATTTTCATACTACAATTTATGCAAAATCATAATTTTGGCTCTTTTCCATCATAAGATTGTTAACATTATCAAAGTCTTCTTTGTATCAGAAGGGATGTTTGATGTGAAACCAATAATATATATTAGAAAAATGATAATTTTATGTTATCCATCTTTTTAATTTTATTCCTTATACTTTACGACTTTTCTACATTTTTTTAAGTGGATGTTTGCTTTTTATATTTATAGTTTTATCATTATTATTTTCTAATGAAAGAATTACATATAGTTGTATATATGTGTCCAGTTATACCTTGTTTATTTCCATCCGGAAAGCATTTTCGGCCAAAAATGAAATCCTCTAGACTAGATTAACTTTCCTAAGTGTCTAGTTATCCGTCAAGGTAACATGTGCACCTATGTGCATTGTCAATTTTTGTACATAGTTGTACATAATTGTACATAATTGTACTAGTTGTCCATCTCTGCAGATTTGCTGATGAACTCATATATAATTATAATTTACCTAAGAACCACTATGATTCAACAACTATATTAAAAAAATTATCCATGCTAATCGTCAGATAAAACGGGGTTACCAATCCGATTCGCAATTATAATAAAAGAATTTTCAATCAACAATTATTTAAGTTGTCTTAGTTATACCTATTGTACCAGTTGTCCTCTATCTCATAGTTGTACCAGTTGTACTAATGGTCCTCTTATCTCTTAGTTGTACCATTTGTACCAGTTGTCTTTTTTCTGCAGATTTGGTGATGAACTCGGGTTCTAATTATAATCTACCTAAGAAACACCATGATTTAACAACTGAATTCGAAAAATTATCTATGCAAAGACCTAATCGTCACATACCAACCCGATTTGCATCTAGAACAAACAATTTTGGCAAATCAAATCCCTAAATTTTGAAATCCCCAAATCTGTAAATAAAAACCTAACTGGATTTTAAAACTTCAACAATAGTGGTGGATAAAGGAGATAAAATAAGAAACTGATTGCAGAAGATGAAGAAGAAAAGGAAGAGGCGAGGATTCAACTGCAAAAATGAGATTTGCTTGTTTTCAGAATCCACCGACGAAGAAGAAGAGCATAAAATTTTATTTTTTTTTTATTAATTTTCGTTTTAAATTATTAATTTTAATAAAATCAATTATTTTTTCACCAAATTCAAAAATGCCACAAATATTTTCATTAAGGGTAAATTGAGAATTCTATATATTATGACATATAGATTTGTTTATATTATAGGACTGCAAACTGCAGATTAATTTTTTTCAATTTGTGGCGTTACAGCCATTAAACCAGCTCCATGCCACTCGCTCGCGAAAATGAGAAAACCTCCATGGCTCTTCTGGTCCGTACTCTTCAGAAAACTCGCATTTTCTCCTTCTCATTCTCCATTTCTTTCCTCAAGATCACCACTTTCTTGGGCTCGATGTAACTCTCCTTTAATAGCTTGTTTAAATTCGTCACCTTCAAAATCTAATAACTCGGAGAAGGGGGTTTTTTTAATCAAATTATATTTGATTCAGCAATATTTTTGTTCAACAAATCCTAAAAATTGAGCCTTTTTGTATGAACAATCTGTGTATATATCTACTCTAACTCTACTCTTGCGTGATACTAGTATCTGTTTTTGTAGCCTCGGAAGAGCTAAGAAGATCAATCCTTGCCGAATCAAGCATGGTTCGAAACCATCGAGCAGAGGCTTTAGGGATCCTTGTGAGATTCTTCTTATAGTCGACATAGTAGATCCCGAACCGGACTGTGTATCCCGAGTTCCATTCCCAGTTGTCTAGCAATGACCACACGAAGTATCCTCTTACATCGCAACCATCGTCCCTGCCCAAAAAAACAGTTAAGACTTCGTTGTTTTTGCAGGTTGGAAGTTTGGTTTCCACTGTTTTACCTTATGGCAGCTGATAAGTTGGAGAGGTAATCTCTGTGGAAGCTAATCCTCTTGTCATCTTGTAATGCTTTCTCCATGTCTATGTATCGCTTGTTTTTCTCATCCATGCCTAAACATTTTCACCCTTTTTTCCATCTAAGAAATGAAACTGTTGAGGAAGATCACATTTTTGGGATTCTGAGAGTGACTTTTTTACCGTTTTCTGTGATGAATACAGGTGGGTTTCCATACATGTCTTTAAGATACACTGCCAGTTTCCTGATTCCCCATGGGACAATGTGTAGCCAGCTTGACCCAGCCTGGATTCCAAGTAAGTTTCTTATTAGATTATAGTAGGTGGTTCTTTTAGGATTAGTGAGTAGAAAACATACTCTTTCTCCTATAGGTACTCCTCCACGAAAAGCTACAACAATTAGAGTGCAAACAGAGAGTAGAAAGATTAGACATTTAGGCATTGATATGTTTTCTATAGCAGGAATGAGAAAATGGTGTCTGATCTTACAGCTTGTGATAACGGCTGCATCGGAAGAAGCGTCTTGCAGAATCAGTTTCCTTATCTGAGTTCTGTCGTTCCTTGCGTATAGTGTCGTGTAGTGGTTGATTCCAAAGAAATCAAATGCCCCTTTTATGCTTTTGGACATCTCTGGTGTGATCTTTGGTAGTCTCTCTTCCACTAGAATTTTCATTGAAGCTGGATAGTCTCCATTGATTAGAGGATCCATAAACCTGTTTTATATCACATTCTGTCACTTTAGCTGCCTCTTCTCGTTTAAACTTTTCTAATGTAAAACAAACATACATACAAAAAGGATCTTATATTTACCATCCAATACCAAAATCCATCGCTCTACGAGCTGCATCTCTGTCCTCATCACAATCAGACATTGGCTCATACCATTTTGCATCTAACGATATCCCGATTTGACCACGTTGTTTGTCCTGCATATAGACATTCTTACATTTTACTATGAAATAAGAATCATGAGATGATCATCATGTTCTGTTCTGTTTTCTTACCTTGAAATGTCTCTGGTAGTTGTGGTAGGCAGCAGCATGAGACAAGAGAATGTTGTGAGCTACAACATATGGTTCGACCGATGACTTCCCCTTCTTACAGAACCAATGTCCCAGAAGTGAGCACCTCCCTGGAGCTTGAATTCCCGTGTCATAGCCTTGGATCGATAACCCGCGTGGCTCATTGAAAGTGATCCAGTACTTCACTCTATCTCCAAAAGCTTTGAAACAGGTGAATGCATAATGCTCGAAATCATCCCTGCACAATTTTGTTATTAGATTTTTTTCTTTCTAATCATCTCAACATATCAAGATTTTGATCCAAAGTTCATATACATACACGACATCTCTGCTTAGCCATCCTTCATATCTGTCCTCTAAAGCTTGTGGAAGATCCCAGTGATACAATGTCACGTAAGGTTTGATTCCTTTGGCTAAAAGAGCATCTATGAGGCTGTTATAGTACTTGACTCCCTCTGGGTTTGCTTCCCCTGTTCCATCTGTTAAACCTCAAGTTTAACAAAACCCGTCTGAAACACAAAACATTACGCTTATGACAGCTAAATGAATCAAACTTACTAGGGAATATTCTTGACCAAGATATAGAGAATCTGTAAGCATCCATTCTCAGATCTTTCATCAGGTCTATATCACTCTGTGAAAGCAAAAATTCAGAGAAAGTTAAAGGTTCTTGCTACTTAGATTCTCTCATTTATGACCTGTATCTCAGTTTTGTTTGGACGAGGTTGCTCTATGGAGAAGCAAACCCTACTTTTATCTTCAAGCGTAAGTCAACCAATGTTTCATTGTTAGGTAAAACTTACATGATATCTATGATATTAACTTACATGATATCTATGATATTGATCGACCGTAGTATCCGCATTGCTGAAGTCTAATATCTTTCCTGTTGATCAAGAACAATAATGTTATATTGACTAAAATCTGGGTTTTTGTTTTCTGGGTTTGTTTCTTTGATACCTGGTTTCTTCGTGAAAGTGTCCCATATGCTTTCTCCTTTGTTTCCTTCGTTCGCAGCTCCTTCAAACTGATTTTCTTGCGAGAAAAATGTTGCGATTATCAGAATCTTGGTGTTTTGAAATCTTTTCTTGGATTCTTTTGCAGAAGAAGAAGAATGTCACCTGGTAAGCTGAAGAAGCTGTTCCGAACACAAACCCATCTGGAAAATTCGCTCTGCTGATAGAGTCTGATGAAACTTGATGAAGGGACGCGAAGAAGACGACGATGACGAACAGAACCAGAACCATGACGAGTTTCGTGATAGAGAGAGGAAGAGAGAGAGAGCTAGAGAGGGCGAGAGAGAGAGAGGGAACTTTTTGTCTGGTCGAATGAAAGATTTGGAGGCAAGAAATAGAAATGGAGATTATGTGTTTTTAATTCGTAAAGCTGAAGGAGAAAGGGGAAGAGTGTAAAGCAAAAGCTCTCTTAAGGCTCTTCTTTGGTGTTGACATTTGTTTCTCTCTTCTTAATACTGTACACGTTTCTTTTACTTCTTCTGCCAAAAACTATAAGTTTACTCTAAGAAGAATAAAAATTTGTCAGCTAGAAAACATTGATCTACTTTATTAATTTCCTATGTTTTTTTAACATTATTTTTGTCTAGGCACTGATTATTTTGGTTTTCTCTGTACACCCATCTACAAGATAATCAAACTGAATTCCTAACTGAACAATAACAAAAAAAAATTATTTCTAGTTGAATAGATAAATTAATGGAAAAATCAATGAGTGAGAACTTAATTGAACATTAATTTAAGGCCTTTACAGCATGTCAGCACCTATACATTTATCTATATGCTGATGTTTTTGCTTTATACATGTTAGATTATATAATAAATGGTTAAAGTTCATTAATCTTTTTCAACAGAATATACATTTTTTTTGTTCCATGTCTACTCATTTTTTTGTCAACATTTTTAATACCATGTTTGCTAAATGCTAACATGTGTTCTGATACCATTGTTTGAGTAACTGTGAATAGTTTAAATGGTTAGGAATATTGAAATAATTTTGTAATCAAATATTAATGAAAAGAAACTGGAAGTTTGGAAATCTACTTCCCAAAAAAATTGGAGAAAGAAAAAGGTTAAAAAAAAAAAAAAAAATTGGAGAAATCTCGAACGCATTGGAATGATGATCCTACCAGAAATGGACCGAGCCAGCTAAACCAAAAATGGAACTACTTCAAAGGGCTATATTCGTCATTTCTCTTGTGTCATTTTTTTTCTTTTCATTAGGTCTTCTCCATTCCATTACTCCTTATCGCGAAAAACCCTCGTTTCTCAAAATCAATCGATTGATCGGCTTTTGGTTTAGGGTTTTAGCTCTCTAAAGTTTAAACCTTTCATTTTTGTTTCTTCTTTAATCCGAAGAAGATCATTACGCCGATCGGTCAATTGAACCTATGGCGATGTCTATGAGACTCCCGGCGATTGCGAGAGCGGCTACGGAAATGGCTACGGCTCCGGCTGGACTGAGACGGCTGTTCTGTTCAAACGCTCCAAACTTTTCATTTCTTTCTCCGAAGGCTGAAGCTGATGCTCCGGCTCGTCCTCAGGCGGAACCCAGCACCAATCTCTTCGTCTCCGGTAATACGCCTCTTTCAGTCTCTCATTTCATTTCTGGGTTTTGAGGGTTTATCGTCGCTCGGGCTATGTGCGTTTCTGTTTTGATGTTCTTCGAAGATCCTTCCTTTTGGTTGAGATTTGGACTATCTTTTCAGTTTACGATTGAGAGATCACAGCATCTTTGTTCAGAATTTGATCAAGAAGTTGCAACGAGAGATAGATTTTCTGTGATTATCTCAGTTATTCCTCTTTTGGTCGTCATTTCCGATTGCTTCGTCTAAATTGAAAAGAGAGCTTTTTTGAATCTTTTGTTTTGATCATTTGTCTTGTAAAGAATTCAGTGTTTTCGATTGAATACTAGCCTAGTTCTATGTGTAGCGACTGTCTTGTTTCCGAGGACAAATCTGGGCTGTTTCTAGCTTTTGAAGGCTACTACTATTGTATCAATGAGTTTTGACACGTAGCTTAACAATGGGCTTTGATGCAACACACTTTTGGATTCGCTGTTTTCTTTGTTCATAGCCTCTGTTTTCATGGTCATTAAATAATAAATATCGTGAAGTTTAGTCTCGAGGGTAATATGTATACATGCACATGTCATATTTAGATGAAGTTTCAGTTCAGTCCTGTTCTGTTCTGATGCTGTATATCAGTTTCCTGAAGTTTCTTTTCGTCGTGTTATCATTGTGTCTATGAAGCTGAAACTTTGAAATCTAAAAGGATCATCTTTGTGCTACCTTATTTTCCAGGGCTTAGCAAGCGCACCACATCTGAAGGACTTAGGACAGCTTTCGCTCAGTTTGGAGAAGTTGCTGATGGTAATAAATCTCCTTATTATGAACATTTATGTGCATCAAAACTATCCGAACAGACTGTAACGAATCCTTTCTCTGAAAATTGGTTTTTGTAGCTAAGGTTGTCACAGACAGAGTCTCAGGATATTCTAAAGGGTTTGGATTTGTTCGATATATGACCTTAGAAGATTCTGCAAAAGGCATAGCTGGAATGGATGGGAAGGTAAATAATATTCATTCTAGTTTTAAATCTCAAAATACAAAAAATGTGATCAAGATCTATTATATATAATTATATATACAGACATCTAAAGCTAATTCTCTTCTCCTGTGTTTCTCTGCAGTTTCTTGACGGTTGGGTCATATTCGCAGAGTATGCAAGACCTAGAGAGCAATCGCCATCATATCAACCTCAGAACAACATGTCTCGTCCTCCATATGGTAACCGCTATTGAAAAAGGCTTGCTTGTTCATGAATGCATTGGATCTCGATGAATCTTTTTATTATTTTTTGTGCTTTATTCTATTCTCTACTATGTTACAACTGTTGTCTTTTATATCATGTTATTAACTTGAGAATGTCGAAAACTTAATAATTATTTTTTGTGTTAAATGACAAAAAAAAAACCAGTGAGCAATATGGATTACGTGGAGGTCTGAAAAACTTAGACGTCTTGTTTCGTTATTTGTTGTTTCGATTGGTTTAGATTCCCTACCGGAAAGTTTTTATATGGACCGGTTCAAATGAGATTGATTGTTCTTTAGAGCCATAGAAAATTCAGATCCGGTTCGATCGGTTAACAAAGAAACATTGCTTTCATTTAGTTGTTATTTTCTTAGCTTAGAATTTTTCCTTTTTGTGAACCAAAACACTTTGAACCGAATCTAATTGAACATTTTTATAAAACCCAATGGGTCCGTAGCTATTAGCCAATCACTAACTCACAATTTGTTGAGATGATTGAACACTTTCATAATTCACACCATTATGATGATTTTAACAAATGGGAATACGTAATTGGCCCACAACAAAACAAACATTGAGTTCTCAAAATTTTCACGTGGAGCTGTCTAGAATCTACACGAATATTTTTATAACATGTGGACTGAACAAAACAAGAGAAATATCAAATACTAATGGCTTATATAAGTTATATGCAATAAATATTACAAAGACAAAAAAAGGAAACAAAACTAAAGAGATACCGTTCATACTATAACATTCCTTCGCTGTCCAAATACGTCTGGTGAGACAATTCCCTCTTTCTCATGCAACCAATTCTAATTTACACGACTCACCATATTACTCCAAAACCAATCGAGACCCATTCTCAAGTCAATTTCAGTGTACTTAGCTTATAAATGGTGATTGTCATATGTTTTGTTCGTTGATTGTCTAATCCTTAGACGCAAATGTTAGTTGTAATTAGAATGTCGACCGCAACGTGTACAAATGGACTCTGTTTCCAACTTCCAAGTTTAAGGAGTAAAGCACAAGTCAAATTTGGCTGCATCAAAGTAATTCAATGCGATTCTTCCAAAACGGATAACGTTCCTAATCAAGTTTTTTTTCGTCGACGATGATCTTATATCATACTTTGTTATCTCTTTTTTTTTGTTAGAGCTTAGACGTAATCCTAACCACATAATATGATCTTTAGAAAATTCGATAAACTCATATACGTGTGTCCTCTTCGGCTGATCTTATTCTATTCGATAAACTCCTTGGCCCGTGACACCTATCAAGTAGCAGCATAGCTAACTGAAATGAAAAAAGTAATTAGACGCAAATGTGTCGGTGGCTGAAATGGGCGAAGTAAAATCTACTCAAAAACTTATGCATCCTTGTTTTTTTTTTATATTTTTTGCCAAGGTTGCATTTGATAGGTTATATTCTTTGTATAACCAAAATTTTATTTTCAATGATGTTTACATTCATAGCCAAAATAACATAAGTAACTGACTAACTCCATTTTTCATTTAAGAAATGTTACTATAAAGTCGTCGTATTAATTAGAAAAGGAGTGATGTATTTTTATATTATTTTAATCAGTACAAACAAATTAACAAGAGATGAGTCATCGTCGCTTTTGTTTCGCCGCATGTGTGATTACTTTCAAACGTGACAGCATATTGGATATGTCGTTCTCTGTGGTTGAATTAGGGTTTAAATGGAGCTGTTTTCGTTTCATGAATAAGTTATACATAATGTTTAGCTTGAACGTTTCATTCATGAATAAGTTATACATAATGTTTAGCTTGAACGTATCATTTTCTAGATCGTTAGGAGATATGTGTCTGATCTGATCCATTTAATGTAGCTCTTATCTACAGGACTTTAGATTTAAGTTCTTGCAATATAAAATTTTCTGATTGCCACGGCCCAAGTAAATAGCACATGCATATTATTAGTATATAGATTGTATCAGCGTATCATCAAATATTATTCGTATACCTGAGACTGTATAAACAGTTATAAAAGTGCCCAACGGAAAATAAAATGATAGTGATATTGAATTTGACTGATTTTAATTAGTAATATAAGATCAAGAATATTATAGCTAGGTTTATATATCTAATTTCACTGAGATTAAGCCACCATGTAACCGTATCTTCTTTCAACAACAAACAACCGAATTAAAAACAACAAAATCAACAAAAATACATCATCTATAAATTTCATAACCGTTTCTACTCTGTTTTTTTTTTCAACTCTTTGCATACGAGCTATCACCTAAACAAATCCAAACAGAAATCCTGAACCCATCCCAAGCTTAATTTATGTAAGATATCTTCAAATTAATAACGAAACATCTTAATCATTACAATTATAATTGGCTTCATATGCATTGTGAAATGTGAATCAGTTTAGTAGAACACAACCCACCACTATTCGGTAAGGTAACAAAACTAGTTTGTTTCTGAATAGAAAAATAAGAAATTAATATGTCGGAAAACATTAATAAGTGGTCCAAAATTATCCTCAATAACAAACAATAAGCCTTTTTGTATACTAGGAAAATACAAGTAATTCCAGTTACGGAAACAAAAATGTTCACGTCGACAGAATGATTCTACTTGAAAAGAGGATCACGCCAAAAATGTTTACAAGATTTCAGATTCTACTATATTTTTTTATTTTATCTGTAAATAGGTTCCTGTACCAAATTGTAAGTATATGGTTCTTGGCAAATTAGACCCAAACATATGAACCAGACTACTCGAGACGACAAGATAAAATAAATGAATGATGTATACGACTCTGCCAACAGACCCGATTCAAAACCATAACTGTATATAAGTATAGTATAGTTTTATTTTAAAAAATTTGGACCTTATTATAGCCACCAAGTAATCAATACATGTACCCCCAAATAAATTACTAACCAACATTACGATTAAGATTTGACAAAGTACAAAATGGTTACAGATCTATCATGTACAATGATGTACAAATCTTTAGGGAAAAAAAAAACAATCATTTGGAAACAATTTGTAACGCCGATTATGAGACTCGGCAATGAGACACTTACCTCTCGATTTCAACGTAAAACCAGCAAAATGTAAAAACCAAATCCGGTTAAAGATAAGGTACGTCAAGGGCAGTTTAGTAATAATTGTAATGCCATAAATCTACTCATGTCCACGTAATCATTCTCGACTTGACTTCCTCCTATAAATTGCACTCTTGTTTCTGAAGAGAATCACACCACTCCAATTTACTATACTTTCTCAAACGTTTCTTGAAAACATCTGTAATCATCTCAAAATATTAATTAGCCTCTATTAAGGATTAATATCAAGATTTTGAATTAAAAAGAAAAAAAAGGAAGAGAAGGGATCAGGTGTGGTGTGGTGTAGGGTATGAAATTCTTGCTAGAGCTCGTCGTGCCTTGTTTCGGTTCGCAGCAGCTCCACCAAACCGACGCAAACGCGGATGATTCGGTTTCCGACGAAACGCAGTCGCTAATGAAACAGCGAAGGCGGCGGAAACGCGTTAGAGTTGCGGGTCAACCGGGACAGGTGGCAGAGTGGAGACCGTCCCTTAGCGTGATATCGGAGCACAAGCCGGCGATTACGGAGAAATCGGAAAAGGTGGAAGAAGAGAGGAAAGTACGTCGGAAAAGTGAAGGCGGCGGCGGAGAAGCGTCGTCTCGATCCGGTGGTGGTCATGTTCGTTTCCGCAGTGACGATTTTGGGTAAGCACACACAATTCTCTAACTTTTTTTAATTTGTTAGTTGGGAATGACAACAAATAATGATTATTGGGAATTGCTTTACATAACTACTTATCAAAAAACACATGATTGTTTTTGTTTAATCAAGGTTATAGTTTTCACTTTTCATGATTATATATTTTAATAAATTACAGAATTTTAGTCATACTTTTGTTGTTGAAATGTAAAGTTTGTTATTGAATCAATAGAAAGAATGAATATTCACAAATGTTTGAAACAAGATTGAATTTTTGAAGATTTCTCTAACATTTTCAATGTAATTTTTGTTTTATTATCAGTGAAAATTATAAGATAAGATTAACCATGGTAGTTAAGATGCTACATATTTAGTGGATAAAGATTCGATATAGTTGGGATGTCAACATCAGTATGTTTAGTTTTTATTCGAGTAAACAGGAGACGTAAATGGGAAGATAACCAAAATTCTTTTTATTAACAGGAGTCGTGTGTTATTTTTTATTCCTGACATTTTTTTTTAGTAAAATGGCAAAAGAACAGGTTGTGTGATTTGTGAAGTATATTGTTTTGACGTTTTTGTTTTTTTATTTTATTTTGCAGGAGAAATGCTTTCGAACCAGTAATTCCGGCATTCTCACCAACTCCGTTCATGTTTTGAGTTTCAGTTGTGTCTTGTGAAGTTTAATCAAATTAATGGAAAGATGTAGCATTAATGTATATATATTTCTTTGATAGTATAAGAAATAAAAAAGTCACCGATTACCGATGTATAAACTTATGCAAAACAAAAGAGCTTTGTCTATACAATTCAACACGTATAATAACCAAGACGACAAAAACACACAGACACCCTCGTCTTACTTAAAGTTCCCTGATAACATCAGTTTTCCGAATATCTTCTTCAAACCTTTTCGAAAATATCGTTTCTATCTCTTGAACCAAAGAAATTCACCTCAAAACATTAGATTTTGTACCAAAGATCTCTTCTTAACATGGTTCAGAACTTGACAACCTATATCGTTATCCATTGTAAAAGCTCGACAATCTATGTTGTATTGTTCTGTTTTGACATGAGCATTGGAATACTTTTGGAAAGAAAACCCTCATTTTGTCTTCTTGTGAAAGCTACCATAACCATGATATTGTCTCAAAACCGCTTCCTAACATCCAGAAACCGGTGAACAAGACCTTGACATGAGCTAAGTTTGCCTTCAGCGGTCAGCTTCCCATCGATGCTTTCCAAAAATCTAATAAAAATAGCGTGTTCTCTAAAATACAATCCTTATTTGATTAGAGTTTTCAGAGCATCTGAGTAATTTATTTACGTGTACATGTTTTTTTCATCAAACTCTTTGAAGGACTTTGAAGATTTAAAGGTTGGAATACTGTAATACACAGAGACAGTTTCTTGAATTTGTTTTTGTGTAGGGCCGTATTATGGGCCGAGACCAACCGCAAAAGCCCATTTAGTTTCAACTTTATAATAAGAAAAAAAAAAGGTCGAGTGAATTAATACCTCATCGAACGTCAATAATCCGGGAAAACAAAGAGGCTACTAAGTACAGAAGTACTAATATAAAATTGTCATGTAGATCACAGAAAAGACTTAATCAGCTCAATTTCTTAACCCCTAATATATTACTAGTACACTACGAAGGCTTTAACGCGTTTTTTGCATCTTTAATCACATTCTCACATGTAGTCTAATATCAACTTTTCTTTTTATAAACACTAAAACTCACCAAATTTGTGTGTATATATGGGGGAGACATGAGAACATGGGGATTACCGTGCACGTGGAGAAGACATGTCTTGCTTAATGATCATGCGACCATGGAACAAGTAAACTTTGAACTTGAGGAATATTTGCTCTCAAGTTATCAAATTGATCTCATCCTCTCAAATTTAAGTAATGTAGTATTATTTTTTTTTCTTCCTATATCTTCATTTATTGCTAATATCCAACTATTGTCTTTACCATTTAAATATTTTTAGAACTCGCTAGCGAATTTTTATTACTTTATAACTGACTTTAGATTTTTTCATAGTTTTAAAACAGAAAAGTTTTCAACAATGATCTATTTTTCAGGTTGGCTCACCAACATTATCGGCCACATTCACAATTCAAAATATAAACCATTTGTTGATGCAAAATCCTCCGAATTCAAACTCGTATACAAGATTTGTTGTTGACTTGAAAAAACATATACGTATTTTAGTAAAAAAAAAAACCCTTACAAGTTACAACTATATATAATTTTGTTGACTCTTTGTTTTGTTTTGTTTTTGACAGCGATAAATTTGTTAATTGTATTACAGGAACATGTGCAAATGCATATGTGTGCACCTCTTCTATGAGACTATATATATGACGGTCCTGGCCTAATTGCTAGTGGCAAATGGTATAATGAAGAAGCAACACTTTTCATACATAAAAAAAGGGAATTGTTAAAAATAAGCCACAATTTGATTCCAAATGCAAAAGTATACCCCAAATTCAACTTGCAAAAATAGGTCAGAGGGGTAGAGAAATTACCATTATCTCCTACATGAGTAAACAATGAAACGGATGTCTCAATTACGATTAAAACCCTTCGAAGTCTGCCAATACTAATGAAGTCTGCTCAGCAAACTGATAAAGAAGTCTACTATATTATTAAATCTTATTTTTAAATTTAAAAATTATATAAAAATAATGTAAACTGAAGTTTGTTTCTATAAATTAAATGTCAACAAGTATGATCTAGAAAAATTATAATTTAATAAATATGAATCATTTTTAACCATCTAAGATAAACATAAAAAGTGAAAGGTTTTAAACTAGGGCTGCAGACTTCTTTATCAGTCTGCTGAGCAGACTGATAAAGAAGTCTACTATATTATTAAATCTTATTTTTAAATTTAAAAATTATATAAAAATAATGTAAACTGAAGTTTGTTTCTATAAATCAAATGTCAACAAGTACGATCTATAAAAATTATAATTTAATAAATATGAATCATTTTAAACCATCTAGGATAAACATAAAAAGTGAAAAGTTTTAAACTAGGGCTGCAGACTTCTTTATCAGTCTGCTCAGCAGACTACGGATCGAAGTCTAGTCAAACCAGAATAATTAACCTAACCGGAATTTTTAACATAGTATATAAAGAAACTTACCAGTCGTTACCATAAATAAAAAAACCTAAATCACTGTAAAACGGCGCTGCACCCTGGTCTCTCTCGCCGCGACTCTCTCTCGCAGTAAGCCTTTCCCGGCGCTCCCCATCTCTTCTTTTCTGTTTCTGATGCATATGTTGTTTCATATATATCACTACATATATTGTTGCTGCAGATCTGAGCCGGCGTCTTCATCGTTCTTAGTTATCTCTCCAGATCTGTGAGTTATTCGCCATTACATTCCCTGTTTAGTCCATATCTTATTGTTTACTGGTTTGTCCTTTAAAATTGTTCTTTTGTTCTTTTGTCCTTTTGCTTTACTGTTTTTTTAACAGATCTAAGTAAAATACTTTTTTCACAGATTCCGTGAGCAAGTAAGTAAAAATATTTTGATTTTTTCTTTATTTCAAGATTTACCTTTTTTGTTATTTTGTTGTTTAGCGAGTAAGAAATATTTTTTTGGAAAGCCTGTTTTTGTTGTTTTGTTTTTAGCTGCAAAGTTATTATGTGGTTGTATCTGTTTTAGTTTTTTGTTTGTTAACTTCCAAGTTTGTTTGCTTGATCTCTACAGAGTAATGCCGATAAGCTACACCAACAGCTCATCTTCCAAAGCAAGCTATGACAGCGGGTGTGCCAAAGCTGATGGAGACTTTGGGATACCTGAACGATGCTATTGCGGCCTTCGATGTAGATTGGAAGAGTCTACAGCTCCAGAGACGTTTGGCAGGAAGTTCTATAGTTGCCCTGATATATTAGGCGAATGTGTATAGTTTTAATGAGGTTTTTCTCAATATGTGTATAGTTTTAATGTTATTCATCGAGTATAACTGAAGTTTTCGTTTGTCATATGTGTAGGATAAACCGGGTCACATCTCCAAATGGTGGGATCTAGCCATTGAAGAGCAGCTGACCATTCTTCAAATACGAATTGACAAGCAGAGCGAAAGCATGTTCCGTGACAACCGAACAGCCCTTCTGCAATCATATGAGAATCGGCTGTATGCATTGGAGGATCGCCTTGCTGCAACCGAGAAGACCATTAGCGAGATCGAGGAGTTCATAGGGTTCATTCAGAGTGAAATTGCTGGAGTGGAAAGAAAGCACTTGCTAATCGAGGTCTGATATCCTTACTTTGTGGTATTTTTTATTTTTGCAGT